TATTCTCCATGTGCATGGGACACTTTCCTCATATTTACTGATGAAATAAATCCAGAAAACGTTTTTGAGGCTTGATTTGAGTCTTTCGTATTTCATCGCAAACAGGTCTTCTTCCTGAGTCTGTAAAATTTTGTTTGCTAGTATAGGTGTTCTGTGCCAGAAATTGCTTTTCGATTTTTCGTAATGATAATTTTTATGCGCTAAGTTATTTTTCGTTGATCTTCTTGTTGGGGCTGTAGATTCTTTGAACTGAACAAATTGTCTCCAATGGAAGTTGTATTGGTCGTTTATTATTTTATGAAGCAAGAGAATGTCGTGCATTTCGTGGTAGAGAGACAGTGGAAGCAGGTTTAATCTAATCAGTCTGTCTTTATAGTTGATGTTGTTACATGACAGTATCCAACGTGTAGCTTTTCTTTGGACATCTTCAATAATTTTTAATTCACACTTATTTGCTTCCCATATGGGTGAGCCATATGACACAATTGGGGTTACATATCCACAGTAGGAGTTCAGTTTCATTTTTAAGCTCGCTGATTTTGAAATATTTCTTTTAATTAAAAATAAGCAGCCTATTGCTTTTTGGGCTCTTATTTTTGCGTGTGCTGACCAGTTTAGGTTGTTGGTTATTTGTATACCAAGGTCTTTTTCTGAACAGGTTTTTTCAAGTAAATGGTCACCGAGATACATGTTTAGGTCAAGTTGGGGGTCTTTGAATATTATATTGTGACATTTTTTCAAATTAAGACTCATGGAATTATCTTTGCACCATAAGTTGATCGTGATTAGGTCATGTTGGAGCAGGGAAGGGTTCGTTGCAACAATTTTATAATCGTCTGCGTAACCATAGCACGAGTTGGTGAGTGATGACGGTAAATCGTTGATGAATGTAATGAAGAATACTGGCCCTAACAGTGAGCCTTGAGGTACGCCGCTACTAACTTCAAGATGGCTGGATACTGCCGCACCTATTCGTACTTGCTGTTTTCTGTTGGTTAAGTAGTTTGCTAATAGTTTAAGTGCGTTTCCTGATATGCCAAATTTATTGAGTTTATATATGCACAAGTCGTGAGGAACTTTGTCGAAAGCCTTTTCGAAGTCTAAGTATGTTGCCTGTAGAGACTTGATATTAGGGTTATCAAAGTCATCATAGATTTTGTCGAGGAATCGGAGCATTTGCAGAGTTGTCGATCGTTTAGGACAGATACCAAATTGGCTGTCATGGATTTGCGAGAAGATCTTTGGTGAGATTTTAAGGAAGATCAGTTTCTCTAAGACTTTGGATACTGCAGTTAGCAGGCTGATGGGCCTGTAGTTTGTGACCGATTGCTTGTTTCCATTTTTAAAAGTTGGGATGATTTGGCTAAGTTTCCAGATCGTTGGAAATGTTGCTTTAATGGTGATGGTGTTATAAATCAATTTTAGAGATGAAGTTATGCTATCTGCTAAATTGGTTAGGACTGTGTTACCGAGTCTATCTGGTCCTCTTGCTTTTTGGAGGTTTAATGTTTTAAGAATGTCGTATATCTCATTTTCAGAGAAATTGAAGCATTTGATTGAGCCAGGTAATTCAGCTATTGGTAAAATGTTTTCATTCTGTTTAATGTTAAAAACGCTTACGAAGTAATTGTTTAGAAGATTAGCTTTACCGTGCTCTGTTGATTCGGTTTTTTCATTCCAGTACATTGTTTTTGGAGTACTTGAGTTTTTTCGTATGCTTTTAAAGTATTTTTGGAGCTTTGAGAAATTTCTGCCCTTGAAAGTTGATTCTTCGAAATTTTTCTGATCTAATTCGGATAAATGATCTACAAGGTTTTTAAGTCTTTCAAGATTGCGGTTATTAGTATGAGTATTTTTAAAGGCTACTTTTTTTGATGCTGTGTTGAGTCTTTTGATAATATTGGAGGTTTCAGGTGTGATCCAAGGTGCTAGGTTCATACGGTGTTTGGTCTGTTTTTTCATGTGTTTTTCTAGTGCTATATATAGCCAGAGGTACCATGAGTTGATTAAGTGGTCAATGTTAGAGTAGCAGTACGGTTGAAATGGGTGTTCCAAAATGTATTTGTTTAAAGTAATCCAATCGACGTTGTTTAATGAGAAGACACCAAAGTCCAGAAAGTCGGATCCGTGTTGTATGGGAGTGGCTTTTTCGTCATTGTGTGTAAGAGATGATATCGTGATTAGAAAAGGGTTGTGGTCTGATAATTCTCTTTCTTGGTGTGAGAAGTGTTTTTTCATATGGTTGTCTATCGTGGTGTTTAAAATAATGTCGGGGTTGTTGCAAAGGACAATATCTAATTGGTCATGAGGGGGTTCGATAAACTGTTGAAAGTTCATATCAGTAAAAGTCTGCAGTACTAATTGTTCGTGTTTTTGGGTTGATTGCAAGGTTTGCCAATGCGTATTAGCGAAGTTGATGTCACCAACCAATAAAATATTTGGGCATTGAAATTCATTTGAGTAGTCAGTTAGCATATTCAATAGTTTGTCGAAGTCATCTGTGGATAGCTTATATTTGCTTTCGTTCGGGGCACTGTAGATACAGCATAGGATGAGAGGTGTCGGAGTGTTAAGGAGGAGTCCAACGCAGTCCGTAGTGTGTATTTCAAGTTTTGTGAAAGCTAGGGATTGCTTAACAGCAATAAGCACGCCCCCGTGTTTCGATTTTGTTGAGTTGGTAGGTCTATCACATCTAGTTATTATGTGTGCAGGCAGAAAAAGCGCGTTGTCAGGGATATTTTCAGTTAACCAAGTTTCGCTTAAGCAAATGATGTCATAATCGTTCGATAGTATTATATTGCTAAGTTTCATACGTCTATTTCTATCCAGTATACTTCGTGTATTGAATAACATAACATTCAGCGATTCTAGTCAGTTGTCATTTCTAGTCTGAATTGTGCTGTTTGCCTCCGGTTTAATTGTAACTTTTGTCCAGGTGTCGTCTACTTTTTCATGCAGTTCTAGGTTTCTGATTCGAAGTTTTTTGGGGTTTTTACCACTGCTGATGAGATTTCTACGTTCTCTCAGGATGGCGTTTTCCAGTTTCATTTCTTCGACTGAGAGTTCCTTACTTATGAAGACATTTTTGTCATAATTTTTGAGGGCCGGTGTTGATGATAGTATCAAGTCTATTTCTCTTGGACAGGTTACTCGTACCAGTATAGTTCTGTGGTTTGCTCGTTCTTCGCTGAACTTTCCCACACGCTTGAGATCAGTGATATTGCATTCGAGGTTTAAGAATTTCATGATTTTATTTACCTCATCATAGTCATGGTCAAGTCTTTTTCTTCCATCTCTTTCCTTGATCTCGGGGACTCCTCTTATTCTCAATCCTTTGCTCAGGTGTTTGATTATGTTTTGCGCCGCTACTTGTGACCAGGTTTTACCCTGTTCTGCTATTGGCAGGCTTTGGATGGGATCTTTAATATTTTCCATTTTTGTCGAGACTTCGGCTACTACTTTACTTAGTTTTGAAATTTCTTCTTCAATTTTTTTGATGTTTTCACTTTTGTCATGTGATGCTGTGCTTCTGATTACTTGATCTCTTTTTCCGTTGGACAAACTGGTATTGCATATCAGTAGTGCGTTGTTACCAAGTTCCAGTATTCCATTGAGTGCAACGGTCGAGAGGCCAGTGCAGACAACTTCAAGGTGCATAGAGCAATTACAGGTGATGCAATTGTATATTGGGTCATTTTCGTTTATGGGTTTCTCGCATGTTTTGCAAGGTTTTTTGTCCTTTGACATTCTCAGTTTTATTTATGTTTACGTCCTCTTATCTCTGTGGAAACTGTGTTTGGGGGATGAAGGTTTAGGTAGTGTACTCGAGTCCTCAGGGCGGTACCTAAAGGGCGCCGATTGAGGACTGAAGTATCAGTGTTAGGGTTATGAAAACAGTTGTTTGGGACCTTAAGGGTACTTGATGACCAGCGGGAGAAAACGGTTTTTTTTATAGATGTGAATTCACAAAGACATCAAATCTGGCGATACCAAAAGGGTATCAATAGAAAATTCAGTCTCTGTGAAAATGATAACACCGACAAGTGTTGTTGCCGCAGTGGTATATATTCGAGTAGCCCTCGCTATCAGTTTTTACACAGAACTTCTTGTAGATGATTTTCTTTTTCAAAATCGTTTGGAGACTCGCAAGCGATGCTGTTGTTAAATGCACTTCGTCGGAAGATAGAACAGTTTTGGTGGTTATTCCTTTCGATATACCGCGATATCGCCAGAGTTCTTTCTTTTTGCGAAGAATATCGTTTACACGTTCCGTTCGGGCTGGTCTTCCGAGTCTGGGTGGTAGAGCGATAATGAAAACTTTATTGCAACGTTCTGTCAACCGTAGGCCAAGTTGGGATAATTCTTCAGCAACGTCTTCGGGTGTTCTCGTTGAGTCTTTTTTGTCTTTCGTAAACAGATCGTTCGCACCAATGAATAGAGCTATAATATCGTATTCGTTCTTGCGGGGCAAGAAGTTTAGAACATCCGCGATACCTGCACCAGGAAGGCTGAGGATATTGAAATTTGGGAAAGTTAGGTTTTTCAATTGTGAGTCTCCGATCAACAAGTGTTGCGACGACGATTTCTTGAATATGTGAAATCTCATTGTTTTTCACCCATCCACGGCTAGGAACGGACGGGACTTTTTCGTTTCGAATAAGGTGTTCTTGTTCCTAGCTACAACTTTTCTGAAAACACACAGTTTGAACGAGGGAAGAGGAATCTATTTAATAAGTTTATCAATTTATGCGAACATTCATTTGTTTGTTGTAGTGGAAATACCTCCATGTCGACTTATGGAAAACAACTTGAAAACCATTGAAACTTATTTTCATTTCAAGACATTATTATCACAATTTTTTTTCTGTAATTAAGTATTATACCAAAAAACATTTGCGTGACAATCACTTGCATCATGTTATTAATTTGCAATTCAATTGTTTTCCTTTATAAATATGTTTTGTTTCTTATCATTGTTTTTTTTTTGCGTTTTTCAGTAGTTTGAATGGTGGAAGTGCAGCCTAAAATTGAACCATATTCCCCGTCGAAATCTCATGGACAGGATTTAGTTAATGGCCACTCCAATGGAGTTGTTAAAAAAGAGATAGAAACGGAAAATGTTAAAACAGAAATTAAAGACGAGCCCGAAACAGGGGAACGTGAGAAAAAGAAAAAGCACAAGGACAAAGACAAGAAGAAGAAAAAAGACAAACATAAAGAAAAGAAAGACAAACACAGAAACAAAGACGAGAAAAAACTCAAAAAGGTTCTCATCGACACTTCTTTTTTTTGGTTTAATTGGTAATCTGCCATGATATCAGCTTTATCAAATTTAAAATTCTTGCATTTTAGCACAAAGAAAAGAAGCGGAAAGCATCAACTGGCGGTGACAGTGATGAAGATGTTAAACGAAAAAAAGTTAAAACAGTAAGTAGACCTGTAGGGGTTTTTGTTTTGAAGTTAAACAAAGTCTTAAAACCTAATAAGTTGATTTGGATTCAAGGAACCCGGTACTCCTGCTAAGAAGCGTGCATCTCAAGGCGCTCAAAGCACTCCCGCGAAGAAAGTTAAAAAGGAGGAAGCCGCTGTATGGAAGTGGTGGGAAGAAGAACCTCTTCCCGAGGGCCAGAGATGGAGAACCCTAGAACATAAGGGAATAGTGCTTGCCCCTCCCTACGTACGAATGCCAGACCATGTTCATTTTTATTACGATGGAAAACCTTTGAGGTTGTCAGAAGCATCAGAAGAAGTTGCAACTTTTTATGCCAAAATGTTGGACCACGATTACACGCAAAAAGAAGTGTTCAATAAAAACTTTTTCAATGACTTTAGGGGGGTAAGTAACAGCTTCAAAAGTTCAGAAACATTATGTTGAGTAAAACTTCTATCTGATATTTCCGTTTAGGAAATGACCAAAGAGGAACGAGAATTAATTACTGACCTTAGACGGTGCAATTTTAAAGAAATGCACGAATATTTTAAAGAGCAGGCAGAAATGAGACGGAACAGATCTAAGGAAGAGAAAAAGGTGAGGGCAACTTGTATTAACTTTGATCGAGCAAACTGAAAAAAAATGTAACTAATTTTGATACAAACAATTTAGGCGGAAAAATTGAAAAATGAAGCTCTCATAGAAGAATATGGGTATGCAATAGTAGATGGACACAGACAACGCGTCGGGAATTTCAGAATTGAACCACCCGGATTGTTCAGAGGAAGAGGGGAGCATCCCAAAATGGGCAAACTGAAACGAAGGATATACCCTGAAGATGTTATCATCAATTGTTCCAAGTTTGTTTCAAGAGTTTTCTATTACTACCGTCTAATTTTGATATTTTATTCTTTGTATTGATCAAATTAAATTCAACCCCCCTCCTCCTGTATTAACCAATTTATAGGCTTCGACCCTTATCTTTTACTTCGAATTAAGTTTGCTAAGTGCCGCATCAAAAGAACTCGATTCTGCCTGGCTCAAAATTTCAACCTAGAACCAAGTTAGCATCATCCCCCAAAACTGCTGGGGGAAGGATCTAACTTGGTCCAATTAATCCATGAAGACAATTTTGAGAGTCTAATTAAAATTTTTTCTCTTGCGATAATACCATAATTTCTTAGAACATTTTTTTACATCTTCAAATTCTCTTTGTTCGAGCAAACACAGCACATTTTTTACAAAGCACAAACAATATTGTTTGTTAGCTTGGCTGTCATTTTAACAACTCAATTTGTCAAAATTTCAAGTTTTTGTTTTTTTTGTTTGACTTGATAGGTTTCGGCCCATATTATATCGGCTTAGTGGCCTCATTTTGCGTCATATGACGAGCAAAAACAAATTGTGTGTGTGTTTTGAGGAGGGGGACTTACTCACTTTTAATTAGTCTTATGTTTTTGATTTTTTTTAGCTTTCCTTTTTGTTGGCTAAACAGCGTTCGTTCGTTTTTCGGCTTTTTTCATTTTCCTCTTTTCGGCTTAATAGGTTTCGAGTTAATAAAATATCAGCTTAGTGGCCTCATATTGTTTCATTCGACGAGCATATAGAGTTTTGATGCGTGTGTGTGTTTGAAGTACTAAGTCTCAGTGAACTTTTTAAGCTTGAAGGGTTTCAGCTAAAGACTTCTCTGCTTTGTTACCGCTTGGTAAATTTTCTTCCGAAGCTAATTGCACATTCTACTGTCGTGGCATGCTATTTTCAAAACTAGCTATTCATTTTGTTAGATCTTGTTTTCGACATTTTCGAATTGTATTTCTTTTTTTCGGCTTACCGGCTTTCGTGTTTTGTATTACAAGTGTTGCTTGTATAAACTCAATTAAAACGCGTGTTATTTTCCCATCTTTAATTTTATTTATTGCAGTTTGTAGTAATCAAGTTATCTTCTTGTCACCTTTTAATTTGATACACGCTTCAAAATTCAGCCAACTTCAACGGAGAGTTTCGAAATGAAAAGTTTCAAAAGCAAAACACCTCAAAAAGGGCCAGACCTTGATTCAAATATGCCCGAAAATCCATCCTGACGATAAATATCGAAAGTTTCTCTCAAAATTGTTCACATCTCAGAAAAAATCAAACAGAGCTCCATCCAGTATCCTTTGGCCAGCTAAAACTTGCTGAAAAGATTAGAAAATTATATACATTTCCATCTAAATTAATTGAAAGCAATTCCCGCCCGAAAACCGAAAACATTCGACCATCTACGATTACTCGCCGGATGATAGCTAGCAATTCGGGACGAATTTTCGATCCCCTTGGATTAATTACCCCTGCAACGATGATCTCAAAGATAGATTTGGAATGGTATGAAGATGTTGAGGCATATCAAGAACCAGTTTCAACACTACTATGATAGCTTAAGTCTTTTGTCTTTGGCTGTACATTCGTTTGTGGCCAAGAAAAGCTTCCATCAAGTCGATCTTCATCTCTTCTGCGATGCATCGGAAATAGCTAATGGAGCAGTTGCCTATGCCAAGACTTGATTATACGCAGGAACCCTAATTTCATTGCTAGCTGCTAAGTCTCGATTTGCACCGAGGAAGACTAATTACATTCTATGATTTCGATGCTTCTGCTCTCTTAACTCCTGAGATGCGTCTTGATTTCAATCAAAACTCTGCTATTGATGGTAGAGTAGATGTCAACGCCTGGAGTGATTCAACAGAAGCATTAGCTTGGATCAGATACACTCCACGCATATGTTCAATTAACCTATTAACAAATGGAAGTGCTTTCAAACTCCACTCGATCATAAAATTTGACCAGTACCAGCAGCTGAACTGTAGAACTTGCAAAATTAGTGGTCAGTGCCCTCTTGGTTGCAGATAAATCAAGTTCGTCTTCCAGCACAACCGATCTTTCTCGAAGCAAATGAAGAGAATAACGAGCTCTGCCGGTCATTAGAGGAAACAATCTTGGTCACTCGAACGGATAGTTGGAATTAAACCATGCAAGCACCAAAAGCATCTAGGACTAGACCTCGAATAGACAAAAAAAGCGGTAATTAGTTCGAACAGTGGTCATGTTTTGGTAAAACACTACGCGTCGGAGCCTTAGTCGCAAAGTTCACCCTGACACTTCTTAAGAGAAGCACTGACGATTGCAATCAGCTTCGAAAGTTAGGACTGAACTTTCTTGTACGATCAACAGATCAGCATTTTGACGAAGAAATAATAGCAATCAAAAAGGGCCTTTGCCGGAAATAATTTACCGGAGATCAAGCTCCTTCAGCTATATCCATTCACTGACGATAATGGGTTGCTTAAAGGTGGTGGACGACTCGCAGCAGCTGGCTGCTTAAACGGGAAAACTAAATTTCAGATGAGCTTGCAGCAGCACGCTCATTTCTTGACAACTATGATTCGCCATAGTCAGCTTGTCTAAATATGCTCTAGACTAAAGGCAACTGATCCTCACACTCGACAGCAGGTCTGGATCATCAGCAGTCACGAGGATTGCGCGAGCAATGACAGGTAACTGTATCACTTACTTCAGGTTTCTTATCAGTACAATATTTCAGCTAATGGGAGGCCCTAGTCAGAGAGTCATCTCATTACCGCCATTCTCCTTTGTTGGTATCGGAATAGCCAGACAATTGTATTATAAGGAAGCGGATCAACTACTTAAGAGTTACATAGAGTTTTTAGCTTGGATATTTCAAAAGCCTTGGAATTTGAATGCTTGAAGATTATCTGATGGTTTATTTCTCAACGAGGATGCCCCAAGCGCTTCTTTTGTATTAGTAGACTGAAATTCATCGGAGCACTAAACGAGCTGTATCAAGTGAATAGACAGTCTCCCTAATCTTCTTCGAGACTTAGGTATCAATTGTACTACTATAGCTGCAAGGGTTCCAAATTTAGGTCAAGGAAAGTTTCTGTGAATTCACTAAAATCGCCATATCACAATATATTAGGCAAATGAGTGAAGCTTCAACTGGGAGAGATTTACACTCTGCTTTGCCAGATAGAAGCAATAATCAAGTCAAGATCGATCACAACAACTTTGGATTGTGCTGAAGACCCTGTGCCGCTGCCTATTGATGCTGTTGGATCGTTTCAAGTCGAGTAATTTGCCAATTATAGCTGATCTTGCCATTGAAGATTTCAATGATTTTGAAAAATAACTGAGAAATTGATTAAGCTATTTGCACAAATGCAACAATGGAATAAGAACCCCGTAGAAAAACAGAACTTGAAAAATAGAGATCTAGTATACATAACTGATGATACCCTTTTTATCATGTCCACCCGGGAATCGCGGGGAATGTATATGCCAGAAACCATAGGCTGTTAAGGGCAGTGCAAGTCAAAATGGGGAGTGGGAAGCTTAGTGCGCGACCAATTTTCAGATTGCGGAAACTGCCGATAAAAGACGAAGAAAGATAAAACAATGAATTATACCAAAAATCAACAGGGGCGGTAATGTCGGAGCAAAAAAGCACGTTTTTTTTGTAAATTATTTGTTTTCATGTATGCTCATGAAATCTTTTTTAAATCCCATATTTCTTCGTTTCATTTACCCGCAGTTTGTAGTGACTAAATCATCTTAAGCTCAGTTTTGATTGGATACAGTCGCTTTCCAGCTATTGCGAAGTATTCACTGCTCAAGCAGTAAGCGTTATCAAATCGGAGCCTAGCGTTTTTGCAGGTACCATTTTGTCTCATAGAATCACCGAAGCGTTGCATGACGTCCGCTGTACTTTGAGAAACGTCGGTATGCTCAATTTCTGTAAAATTCAAATTAAACTACTCGTTGTTTTGACATATTAGTTTGGTATCCAATGATTTTTTCAGTATTGTATTTGAAAAAATTTAAATTCTCAAAAATTTTTCATTGTCATTTTATTGTTTATCTGCTGATTTTGTGCCTGTTTTTCTTTCTCAGATGTGACATTTTCTGATTTGAGCATTTGCTAGTTCTATAGATGAAGGTATTTTTGTGATAATATGAGACGTTCACCAGCTCCGATTTTGTAATTTTATTTTATTTGGTATTATTATTCGCTCAAGTAATTTAACCGGCTTCAATGGTTTAGCTTTAATGTTTGCCGCAAGTTGCATCAAATAAAGAATGGCAAACGATTTGTTTGCCGGTGTGTATGTGTGTGATTCAAGGGATTGAAATTTCATACCGTATACACAAATTTTTTCATCGCAATAATTTTGTTTTAGACTCAACGGCCTTCTAAATGCTAAATTAGCTGTAAAATTGTTTTAAAAGATGTTCAATTTGAGATAAATTCTAGGAAAACATCATAAAATGTAGATGTTGTTTTTTGACATGCTTAAAAATCGACCTGTCATCTACCGTTTCACTTTTTTGTCGTCAGCTAGCTTGCAATGCTTTGTTTGTGATGTATCCGCTTTTCCTCTGCCTACAGTATGTAATTCTCTAAATTGAGATTAATCTTCCTTAACGAATTGTCAGGGGTGTTCGCATTCCGTGTCCGGAGGGCCACAAGTGGAAAGAGATCAGACATGACAGCACAGTCACCTGGCTGGCATGCTGGACTGAGAACGTGCAGAACGGAGGCAAGTATGTAATGTTGGGTGCCACTTCAAGACTGAAAGGGGAGAAGGACTGGCTGAAGTACGAGAAGGCCAGACATTTGCACAGTTACATTGACCAGATAAGAGAGGACTACGTGGCACAGTTTAAGGCTAAAGAGATGGTTGTCAGACAGAGAGCCGTAGCGCTCTATTTCATCGACAAGGTAAACTTCACTGCTTCTGGGAAACATGTTTTCTTCAGAAGAGTTTTTTATTTGCACCTAAAGCTGATGTTTGCGTAGAATGCATTTAGTCGTGACATTTTTTCGATGAAAGAGTGTTCAAAAGAAAACCGAAGTGTGTTCTCCTCTTAACTGTTTCTATAATTGTTGAACGACTGATTGATGCGAAATGAATCGTTCCGAAACTCATAGTAATCGTTTTTGTTTACAGTTAGCTCTAAGAGCGGGTAATGAGAAGGACTCAGACGAACAGGCTGACACTGTTGGTTGCTGTTCTCTGCGAGTAGAACACGTCAAGTTACATGACAGCATAGAGGATAAGGAGAACGTGGTCGAGTTCGACTTCCTCGGAAAGGACTCCATCAGATACCACAACTTCGTTCCTGTCGACAAGAGGGTGAGATGTTTGTTTGTAATTCAGCAAACTCTCGCTAGCATACTCTAAATTCTCCCGTGTCATGTAGAATAGGCACAGATGTTTTGTTCATAGATTGTTCCCGTAATAGTTCACAAAAAGAAGCGAGAGGAGACTCATAGAGGCTCGAATTTTAGGTCTACAAGAATCTGAAGCTGTTTCTGGAGAACAAGGAGCCAGGAGATGATCTTTTCGATCGGCTGACAACTGCATCGTTGAACAAGTATCTTACGGACCTGATGGAGGGACTCACGGCCAAGGTTTTCAGGACATACAATGCGTCTAAGACACTTCAGGAACAACTCGACAAAATGACGAATGGTGAGTCCTGTGATAACTCTCTAGCAATTAGCATGCATTATCAAATCGGAATATAGACTTTTATCGAGTTAAAAGTTTGTTAAAAGTTCATCAAACTGATAGTCCTCTTTTACCGTAAACGATGGTCTTCGGATTTTTCATTGTCTCAAAAAGTACTCTATCAAATCTAGGATTAAGTTTTCAATCCAGAGAACGTGTTATTGGAATTTCCCTTGCATAAGCTGCCACGCTCTTGTTCTTGTAGATTTGATTGTTTCTTTGCACACATGGTAGTGGTATTCTCTGGATAAACTGATTCTCTCAATTGTTGTAAGCAATCAGCTACGAAGCTTAGATTTATTTTTAGTTTGACAATTTGAACATTTCAGAACGTAGTTCAGATTCTTATATAGGCGACGAGGATTTTTTCCTAACTTTGTTAAACGGAAGGCAAACTCCACCATCGAACAGTGGAAAATAAAGATCTTGAAAAACCTGATCGAATTCCCAGCGAAATAAAATTTTTACCTGTTGACACAGTTTTTTTAAATTGGGTTGATTCATTAAAAAATCAATCAAAAATTGTTTTAGAAATTCAAAGAGCTCTAAGGACATTAATTTTTTTTCTGGGAAAATCGAAAACTGGCTTTTCTAAAAAAGAGTCAGTGTTATATTTTTTTTTGTATTTATTTGCGTTCATTGACTCTTTTCAACTTGTCTGTTGGCTATGTTTGAACTTGGTTGAAAAATTTTTTGACCACAAATCTTGTTTAAATTTTTGACCGTTGTTTTTCTGCAAAACTACCCATCCGCGAAAACTACTTTGCCAAACCTGAGTTAAAGGGTTCAATCCAAAGAACAAACTGTAGTTTTATCCTCTGCACCGGCGGTTTGTTTAATTTTTTTAAACAGAATCCGCGATTTATTCAAAAATGGGTCAGTACGTAAAATATATCTTGAATTCGTTCATTTTCCCAAATACGACTGTGCCAATTCACAAATTCAGTCGAATTGGCATGTTTTAATGATCTCCCCTGCGAAAGAGTTCTCTGTAATTTTGCTATCGACTTGGTAAGTGTCCACTTTTTATCATTTTGTTACGTTTTTGAAAATTAAGCATTACCTTTCGCATCTGAACGTTTTAAAGTTCATCAAACTGATAGCTTCAGCTGGAAACAGTTCTTTTTGTCGATCAACCCTTTCTCGAATTGAGTTAATTTTTTCAAAAAGCACCAGTCACAATTTGTTTGTGAAAATCAAAGAGCTTTAAGGGCAATTTTTTTTTAATGTTGAAAGTTTTTTTTCAAAAAACCAGTCAGTTTTGTTTTCTGTTTCCTTGCGTTTATTTTTTTTTCCAACTGCCAGTTGGCTATGTTTTTTTGGTGGTACTTAAGCTGAATAGCATAGTCAACTTGATAGCAACTATAGCTGCTTTATTTGTGGCTCATTTCGGTAAAATTTTCAAGCGATCGGCGCAGGTTCAAGAATTTCAGACTTTTAATCTCGATGTCAGATGTTTGTTTCCGGCACACTCCGGAAGTTTTTCGTTTTCAAGATTTTCCGTTCTTGAGTTAGAATTTCCAATGTTTGGCCAAATATTGATTTTTTCCATCTTCAATGCTAATTACTACTGGTAAATGCTTATTGTTGAATTTTTTTATGTATAATTATGATTGCGAGAGCAATTGTCTTGTAATCGGGAACTAGACTTTTATCCTGGAAACAACTTTTACAAATCTGTAAGACATCGAACTTGTTTGATTTTGAACATTAACTACCTCCAGTCTACAGCCACCTTGGTCTGGAGGTAATGTGGTTGCTTTTGCAACGTACGGTCTGGGGGTCGATTCTCCATGTTTTTTTCAGTGTGTATGAAACTGAAAATATTTTCTGGTAAAAATAGCATGTCGGTCTATTGTTTGTCTGCTGATATTTTTTGTCGGCCTAGCTGTCGCTTTTTTTTGGAAATGTTGTTGGCTTACTCTTGTTTTTTATTTATCTAACTTTGGCTATGTATATTTGCCTTTTTTGTGTATTCTTTCATTCGGCTTTCATGGTCTCGGCTAATGTTAATCCAATTCGGTTGTGGTGTAAAAGTTGAAATTTCAAAACTAAGTCGCTCAAATTTTTGTGGCTGAAATTTCTTATGTTTATCAATTTTTATTGACTGATTCGCCGCTCGGTAAATATTAAAAGCTTAATTAATGCTGGTTATTGTATTTCTCGACATTTTTTGAAACTGAATTTTCTTATTTATTTGAAAAAAAAAATGTCAACTATTTTTTCGTGTTGTTTCCTCATTTTTTGTTCGCTAGCTTGCAATGCTACGCTTGCATTGAGTTTGCGACTGTTCTGATGATAAACAGATCTCTGAGGGAGGGTTAGAAGGGGGATTGCCGACAATGCAGATCAATTCAACTGCTAATGTGCTTTTTTCAGTTTCTGTACTTTTTCAGTTTGCGTAGTTTTTTATTGCTGTTTTTCTGATAACATATGCTTGTTCAGGTTCATCTACTTCTGTGATATCGGTCTCAACTTTTTGCAAGGGCTTTTGCAGTTACAATCAGAAAAATTGAGTTCTGTAATCGGAATCCAAGTTATATCATTTCTCCTGTTTTTTTTTGTCTTTTCAATGAGTAATATGCATCCGAAAAAGAAAGTCATGTTAGCTTGTTTAAGGCAAACCAATGGGAGGCATTCATGGCACTTTATAATTTGACTGTTTATATTGTGCATTGTTAGCTGACAACAGTATCCCGGAGCAGATGTTGACATACAACAGGGCTAACAGGGAAGTGGCCATTCTGTGTAACCATCAGCGGAGTGTGCCGAAGAGCCACGAGAAGAGTATGGAGAACCTGAACAACAAACTGAAGGACAAACAGGCCAGTTACATGGAAGCGAAGAAGGAGTACAAACATGCCAAGGAACAGTTCAAGAAGAGCAAGACCAGAAAAGACAAGGAGTGAGTAGTTGCAAAGTTTTATCGCACTTTTTCCTGTCAACAACAACCCCCCTCTCTCTCTCTGCCATTCTTATGAGGATCAATTTATATACTTTAACAAGCCAAGCGGTTTCACAAGCTTAAGTTGCGATTGCTGAACAAGAGTCTTCAGAATACCGTCGCTAAGCTCTCCATACTTATTACTCAGAATTTTGATAATGTTACATTTGTTAACGGTTAAATCGATTAGCGATGAATTTTAGAGCGATGGATAAGAAAAAAACCGCTCTGTCGAGGGTAGAAGAACAGATTAACAAACTGCAGATTCAGATGACAGACAAAGATGAGAACAAGGAGATCGCATTGGGCACCTCTAAACTCAACTATCTAGACCCCAGAATCACGGTCTCATGGTAAGGCTAGCTTGGGTTTTTAGATATCGCAGATATGTTGGCAGTATTTTGAAATTCCCAGGTTGTAGAAGGTGCTTGTGATAAAGATTTTTGGCTGAGAGCCTGCTTAGTATGTCAAGTGTATGTAAAAAGCTTGTTTTCTATCACGGTTAATTTTGTGAATTATAAACATAAATATAAAGCGACTGAGCTTACAGTTTGTATAAAAATGATCGAATAGCTGATGATCTTGTTGATGATCAACGTTATTCGGTGCTATGTTATGATTTAGGTGTAAAAAATTCAACGTTCCAATTGAAAAATGTTTCAACAAGACTCAGCGTGAGAAGTTTGCATGGGCCATTGCTATGGCGGACGAATCATACTCGTTCACAGACATTTCAAACATACAGAGTCTAACTCAGATCAACAGCAGGAGTAACGAGGCGGACAAGGCAGACAAACAGAGTGGGGAGGGAGGGGATAAGAAGAGTCGTTCGAGTGGAAGCAAGAGCAGCAAGCATAACACATCTCAGGACGAAGAGGAGGACGAGGAGGAAGAAGAAGAAGAGGAAGAAGAAGACGACGAGTGAACAGAACCTACAAAAACGCAAACCGAATCAGCGCTGCCTCTTTTCTGTCAGTAACACTTTAGCAACTCATTTTAATCATGTCACTGCGTTTTAATCATTAACTGCATTTTCATAGTCTAATCTTCGAAGTCTCATCTAAAGACAAGAGGAATTTGTAAAAAGACTTCGACGGTGTGACATGATTAAATTGAAGTAACCTGTATCTGAGTTGTTCAAGTGTTAGGTATATTACTCCAGTATTATGTAGAAAACATTAGGATAGGTAGGCAACTCCGGTATTGAGGAGACAACTTCGCGAGTTGAGAAACATCACTGATTTGGTCCTCAATTTTGCATGTGAAGCAGAAAAAAAAACTAAACTTGGGGATTAGACCAAAACCGCGTTTTTTGTTAAAGGAATATTTTGTGTAGAAATATTTATTGGGCTTTTTCTATATTATTGAACAAAACATTAGGTAATTTTTAGGTGATAAAAATGATGCTAGTCGACCTCTCTTCTCTCCTCTCCGTAATGAAAAGTGGCTCTGACAACATCGACCTCAACTTTTGTTTAAATCTACCTGAAATGAGATCCATGAAAGCCTCTAATCTCTTCTCACTCCTATTTTTCATCTTCATCCTCAGCTCTAAGCAGCTTAAATTGTCGCTTTTTGGAAACCAAAATTTATAGCTATTTTGATGGAGCGAACTAATTTTCGTTCGAAGTTTGATTTATTTGAAAAGCCCCAATATATCAGTAACCTTATTTGTTCATTGAATTGAACCGTCCTGAGAAATTGGCAGAAAATGTAGTACAATTTTTGTTGTGATTTGTGGTGCAATTCTGCATGTGCTCTGGGAAGTTGCTTTTCTTGCTGACCTATCTGATGTGAACTTACAAATGAACTGTTTTTTTTTTACAGTAGACCGATAAAATCTTTCCGTGCTATTAAAATGTGATGTAAACGTGCAGTTAAAATTGTCTATTTTATTACAACGCAACTTTTTATCATGCTTTTGTGAACTGAACATCCACAAAAAAATGGCGTTTCTCTTGAAAATTTTCAAATAGTTGACCGCAAACTTGCGAAAGGATCTCGCAGACCAGTTTTGGTGTAACTCATTTTCTGATTTGTTATAATGCTTCGAATATAATTCAACTGGGCAAGTTTTCGCAACTCAATAGAGAATCTGATCGTACTTGAACGAAAACCCATTTTAAATATTTGCTACAACTTGTGATGGGGTGATTTGGCTAATATATAACCTAAGTTTTCGCCTGTTGGATATTTTGTGAAGACGAATATAATGTATCTTATGATCTTATCTTATTGCCAAAGGAATAATTCAATTAGTGCTTTTGTAAGCGTTTTGATAAAAAACGAAGAAACAGAAGTGAACATGTGTCACTGTATCAGTAGCGGCAGATTGCAAATAGATTCTGCATTATACCAGCACCTTAACTTTTTTCTAACCAGTTTAAAAAAAAACCAAATTCCACTAAAATTCACTAGAAAACTTATATTGGCGCGATATTGGGGTCTTAATCAGTTGAACAAGCTAGCTCGAAACCTCGACTCCGGTAGTTCGTTAATGATGACAGCATTTATTTTGCAACTCAATAACAAAAACGAATAAGTCTAAATTTTTCAAGCTTAAGAATTATTTTGAACAGCTGGTCGTGATGATACTTTGTGTTTAGGAAGTCTTAAAATATGTTCAAGCTGATTGTGGATTTTTGTGGTTTGTTTTTTTGTTCAATTAAGAGTAGATGGACGTGTTCTGACTCTTATACAGGTCGTGATGATTTTTTGTTTGTTTTTTTTTCCGGAAAAGTATTAAAAGTTGTTCAGGCTCAAATTTACTGTTTCGAGGTTTGCTTTTGATTTTTTAAGGCCACTTCATTTCCCTTTTTAAAAGAAGGGAAAATTCAACTCTCGCACAGCGAAAGTGTGAAGGTCACGAAAAACGTGATCGGCTTCTAATTTTAAAAATGGAGCTTCTCTCAGATTTCCCAGCGAAATAAAAAAAAATTGCTAATTGATCCAGTTCTCTCAAATTGAGCTAATTTTATCAAATCAAAATTTTTCTAGAAATACAAAGAGCTTTAAGGGCATATGTTCGTTTTCTAAATTTTGCAAGTTGTTTTTTTCAAAGAAAAAATGAGCCATTTTTTCATGTTTACTTTGTTCATTTTTCTTTTCCAATTTTCAGTTGTCTATGTTTCGTGGAATCAAAGTTTGCTCGAAAAAAAAAGAAATTTACTCTCCGCTTTCATGTTTAATGACATTATTTTTAATTTTCTAGCCATGTTTAAGTCACAATCCTGCCTAATTTTTGTCCAAAATTTTGCCTTTACAGATTCATTTCAGTCTGAAACGAATCAACTGAAAACAGCCACTTCATGATAAGAAAGAAACTTTTTCCAAAACGATTCGGTCTATGAAAAACAAAACTGAAATATTTCAAAGTTTCGTAGCTTTAAAAGCTTGCTTAGAAAAGCTTAAAATTTTCGCGAACCGATTCAGTCTATGAAGTAACTTGGAAAGTTTTCAAAGTTTCGTTGTTTGAATAGCCAGCTTTTTCATGAAGCGATTCGTTTCCTTAAGTATCTTGAATTATGGCAAAGTTCAATGGCTAAAATAGCTCTCTAAGAAACACTTAATCGTTTCGCAATCCTGTTCGCTTTATGAAATAATTTAAAACATCTTAAAATTTCATAGCTTGCTTTCGAAAACCTCAACTTTTGGCTAAACGATTCGGTCTAAGAAACAGCTTGGAATTTTTTGAAATTTAATGCTCGATTAGCTCGCGAATAAATTTTTCGCCAGACGCTTCCTTCTGAAAAGAACCTGGAAATTGTTTGAATGGTGGCTTCAACAAACAATTTGCAATCCGATGCACTTTTCGCAAGGCTAAGGAATAACTTGAAATGTTTTATGTTGTTAATAGCTTGCATAGAAAAACTTAATCTTTTGCGCTCTGTGAATTGAATTGAAATATTTCATTTCATAGCTTGAATAGCGTACTAAGAATAACTTAAACGGTTCACCAAGTGATTCGCTCTATGAAACAACGTATTTTTTTCCAAATTTTCCTTGCTTCAATAGCTTGCCTGCTAAAGCTTTTTTTCGCGAATTGATTCGCTCTATGAAACAACTTGAAATATTTCAATGGTTCCTTGCTTGAGTAGCTTCCATAGAAAAACTTAAAGTTTTGCCATCCGATTTGCTTCATGAAATATTTCAAAAGTTTAATAGCTTAAATAGCTTGCATAGAAATACTTCAATTGTTCGGGAACCGATTCGTTCTATGAAACTTAAAATTTTTCAAACCGATTTACGCTATGGCCGAACATGAAATTAATCAAGTTTCTTAGCTTGTTTAGAGCAAAACTAATTTTTTCGCGGGTGGTCTTGCTAGTTTAATTTTATTTGATAGTTATTGAGAAAATGTTGGCAATATTGGTGAGCTTGAGTGATTCAAGTGGTCAAAAAGTTCAGCTTTTAGGTTAATTAGTTTTTGGACACAGTTTTTACGCGAGCATTAACTATAGAGAGTTGCAAAAAGTTCGGACAGACAGAATTAATTAAAAAGAGCAATCGTACCATTTTGACAGATTTTGCATGCAACTGTTTTTTGAGAAACTAAATTGGACAGAAAATTAGGTTTTGCATGCAAAATGTTTCCAAAATAGGTCAATTGCTCTTTCTAACTAATTTGTCTGTCCGAACTTTTTGCTATAATTAGTAGAAAAAGGTTCGAACAGACAATTAATTAAAATGAGCAATCAGTGCTTTTCGACGTTTTTTTGCATGCAAAATCTAAAGCCGAACAACCTTGATTTTTTTAACAGACCAAATTCAAAATGCGAGATCGTTGATTATCGGATGATTATGCTGGCCTAATTTTTAAATACTGCGATGAACATTGCCCGCCATGGTTTATAGGTTTCGATCGAAACTCAGATCTGTTTAAAAATCTCTCCCCCTCCCTTTTGTATCTACTAAAGAATCTCCACCCCTGTAAATAAAAACAGTAAGTTCGCACAAGAGCATTGTATGTAAATTCGAATTATGCTGCATTCTGATTGGTCGAAAGTTTGCTGCAAGTAATCTTATTAACGATCTCCTCCCCTTTCTTGAAAGGGGGATTAAGTAGATCCCGTAACTCTGCTTTATGAACTTTCGACCTTATGTTTAATTCAGTTTTAACTTCCGTTGATGTTCAGACAGTTGCTCTTTTTAATTAATTCTGTCTGTCCGAACTTTTTGCAACTTTCTATACTAATTACATATAGCTTTTTAAAAAATTTATCGGACAACGTGTTAATTTTTAGAAATAATTTTGACCTTGAGACAGTGAAATGGCTTTAAAACTGCAATCGAATTTTCATTACCGCATTTGAACTGACACAAGAGCAATGCAAAATGATAGCGCGTTTTCTGAGAACTCCATTTTGCCTTATTTGAAGAGCACAATTGAAAAAACTTTTTCTTTCAACAACGATTCGCCATGCAAAAAAATGCCGACAAAAAGGCAAACGAGAAATTTCAGAGAAGTGTTTCGATTTAGTTTGAAGGTCAGAATTATTTCAGAAATTTTAGACGTCGGCCGATAAATTTGTCAAAAGCTGTATATAGAAAATTGCAAAAATTTGGGGCAGATAGAATTAATTGAAAAGAGCAATTGTCCTCAATCAGTAATTGTCAACAATGCAAGAGCTAGTTTTTCGGACAAAACTTATGTGTCAAGGTCCCCTAAAAAGTCAAATTTGCATGCAAAAGTTGCCTAAAATGGGCAGTTGTTCTTTTTAATTATTTGTGTCTGTTCCCACTGTTTGCTACTTCGTATATACTGGTTTTTGCTACACAACTATGCTTGTTCTACAGCTACTTACTGTTGTGCTAAAAGTAAGTGGTATGACTACGCCACACGCGTAGCTATAGTTGCTGTTTAAGAAGTTAACAGCTTTCCGTAAAACAATAGTCATTCAATTTTTTGTCTTCTGAAATTATTACAGCATAGAGTCGACAAACTGAAAATTTGATAATATAAACATCTCCAGTTTTCGAGAACTATCGCACCCTTTCGCCCTGTTCAAGCTATGATCGTTTTGCATACCATTTTTCAATCAAATTAAACCATTTTATAACATAACTCTAGCCATTTTGTTATTGTTTTTACCATAGATCTTGTTTTTTTTTTTAAATATTTTAGCCTGTTTCTCATTTAGCTCAACTTGTATCAGCTTTTCAACATAATATTTTTGCATATTTATCTCGTCAATTCATTTATTGCCTCTATTTTATGTGTAAAAGAACCACGTGATTGTCACTTATGTCGTGTTAATTATTCGATTTTTTAAGTAAAAAGTCTCGAAAATTGTTCACACTCAAATTTGATTTTTCTGAGTTTGACGCTGATTTCTTTTAAGGTGCGGTTCATTTTCTTTGTTGAACGGAAAGCAAATTACGCTAAGGAATTACCCAAAAGTAAAATGGTCACAAATATGAAGGTCAGATTTCCAATAAAAACTTAACTACTGATCCGTTATCAAGAAAGTGCAAGCGGAATTGTTTCTTCAAATTCAAAGAGCTTTTAGGGCCACATTTTTTTTAAAATAGTTTGAAGTTGAAGTTTTTTAAAAAAAAAACATTTTTTTTCTTTTATCACAGCAAGTTAATAAAACTACCTATGTATTCAGTTTTCTCTAAAGGGGATAACTTTGAGAAAAAAGACATCCTACAAACATTTCTTGAAATTCAATAAGCTGAAATGCGATTTAATTGTTTTTTGATTTCCAATCCACTTTTCTGTTTCTCAGTCAACTTTTTTCACAGGATTGAATTGTTAGTCATCTCCAAATCTGTTCTGTGAAGTTATAATTGTCGGCTTTGCTGCCGCTGTTTAATTTCAATTAATTGCTTTTTTAGAGTTCAATTGTTTTAATTCGCGTGTTTTTTTTTGTGTGAAGTATTTCTGTTTGAGACAAAATCAAGACAAATATTTGAGAGTTTTGGTAGATGATTTTTTTCGGCTTTTCCGAAAATTGTTCTACGATAAGGTGTTTTCCGACTTGTCATTTGAATCTTTGATAATAATTCACTGTTTAGAGTTCCATCTTTTTTTTAAAAAAAAAATGGCATTGAAGAGTTAACGAGTTTTTGTCCTTAAATTTGGAAGTCTTCTTTGGAAGCAGCTTTGCTGCAGTGCTTATGTTATTCTGATGTTTATTTGTGGCACTTGATTTGGCTTGGAAAAAAAACGAAGACCCAAATTCAAACTTCCTCGGTAGTCAGATTAACAATCAGTTCCTGAAAGCGGTTCTAGAAATTTCGAGAAAACATAGAATCCCAGTAGCAA